CATTCCACCTTAACAAAAAAAAAATTATTAGTATTAGTTAAAGTTAAAAATAAAAGTATAACTATCCAAAAAAAAATTATAAAAATAAAATGTAAAATATATTTCTCACCCCACTCCACCACTTCCTTTAACCCCCCCCCCCCCCCAACTTTTTTAGTTTTTTTTTTTAAAAAAAATTCCTTTTATAAAAGTTTTTTGAAAAATTCTTACTTCATCTGTCCCTATCCTTCAAATAATAATGTAGATATTATTTTATTTTTTAAAGAAAAAATAATTGTACCTCACCCCACCTAACCCTACGCTTTCAATTTTTTACTCGTTTTGTGTTATATATAATATTTTCCTAAAAATATATGTACATATTCAATACAAAACGAGAAAAATGTAAAAAAAATAATAGGAAGAGAAGCTTAGATGGTGTGTGGTAGAATTTATTTTTTAAAAAAATTATAACATTAATACTCCATCCTGTTAGGGTTTTGCCTTGATTTTCTTACCATAGTTTAAGATTTATTTTTCCTTAAAGAAAAAAAAAACATTACCATAAATGTTTTTACTTTTCTTGAAAGGAAAATATAATATTATTTTATATTTGATTTATTCTCTCCTTTTAGGACTCCTTTTCTAGTAGGAAAGGTTTTAGGACTCTATAAATATAGGTTTGTTTCTTCTAACACAATAACAATAACATCCACAATGTAGACGTTTAAGAGTCTTGTTTATGGGGAGATTTATTCTCTCTAAAGTTTCAATGTTTTTCTTTAAAATTAGTTTTGATATAATAATATTTTGATTTTTAGTATAAGTTTTTGTCATCTGATATATCAACCATATGATTTGCAAATTATAAGCTTCCGCGTGACGCCCTATTCACCCTTCATAACCCAACACATCCGTCCCATTTTATATGTCACATTTTTACTTTGCACTTGCATTAAGAAATGATGTAACTTTACCCTTCTACCCTCATTTAATTTTTTTGGAACTCAAGTTTTCAATCAATGAATATGAATTAATTTATTTTGATTAATTAATTTAACCAATGAACATGAATCATTTATTTAACTTTTCTAAGTTGGGCAAATGTATATTTTCAAGGCTAATAATTCACAAGGGTAAAAAAGGAACAATATGGTAATTTATGCATTGATTTTATGAAATGACAAGTATTATGGAGCAACTATTTATAGAAAGGGATGACATATAAAATGGGACGGAGGGAGTATCAATTTTTTTTGGAAGGAGTTGGGAAGGGGGTGAAGTCTGGATTTTTTTAAAAATATTTTTATTAAAGAAATTTAAATAATAAAAGGATGGGGGATTGTCATGGCTTGGGTGGGGGTGGGAATGAGAAAAATATTTTAAATTTTATCTTTTAAAAGATAATTATTTTTTTAAAAAAATGTTTTTTTTCATGGATAGTAATACTTTAATCTTTAACTTTTAGTTAATATTAATGACTTATTTTATTTTTGTCAAGCTGAAATATTTTATTCATGTGGCAAAATTTTACCAATAAAACAGACAGTATATTACACTTCCAATAATTTAGTTATTAGGTATGAAACTAAAAAAAATGTGATGTTTTAGATGTATTGTTAACACTTATCTCGTTTTTAAAAAAAAACAGAGTGACAATTTTTTTTATATTTAGTAACAATATAAATTCAAAATATTAATTTCACTCTAGATAATAATTTTAACTACTTAAACATATTATGACTTATTCAGACTACAAACTTAAAAAATCTTTTCATATTTTCTTAATGAGATTTCTATTTTTTTTGTTTCCCACACGGTGTTTAGAGCCCACATTGGAGCTCCGAGATTTCTATTCATAATAGCCATTTTCGAAGTTTCACATCAAGAATTCAACATAGTATCAAAACCTTTGTGTCCAGACTTTGATCACAGGGGGGACCCGCATAGAGTCCTTCGGGTGCTCGAACAACCCTTAACCTTATCTCGAAATATATATATATGTGTGTGTGTACAAATTAAGAAGGATTTATATAAACTTACACAGAGCACTCAATGAACAATTGGTCTAATTAGTCCATTAGCTCCTAGGTGGGTACTTAAGGCTCTTGTAGTGTTGTTAATCCTGAGTTTGAATCTCACCGTGAACATGTCTTTTTTATATTTTTGACTCCACCACTTTCAGAGCATCCATAACCATAAAATTCTAGATTCGCCACTGCTTGATCAAATAAAATATTCCATTGATTCACAGCCAAAAAGTGTAGTCACATATAGATGACATGTGTTTTCAGTAGTAACGTACAAGCTTATCGGCATAACATTATTTGATTGTGGTGGAAAATTAGGCCTTGTACTATACTTAACATGGTCCCTGTGGCAAATGATTTAAATACAAAATAGAACCTCAATTATGACTTTAATGAAGCATTTGAAAAAGAGATGGGTACTAATATGTGATTACACGATGTGATAACATTGCCATCACATGTGAATAGTCATTACATAAATGTCAAACATTGGCTACAAGAAATCCTTTTTAAAATAAATATATTTTTAACGATAGTCTAGTTTGCGTGTGGTTCGTTTATACGCAATTTAGGTGGTGACATTTATTATTGATGGATGGTTATACAATATAATATAATGGTGGTCCTTATAAATTATTACTTTCTTTATTTTAATTTGTTTGTATAACTGTGACTTACTTTTCTTTTCAATTTGTCCCAATAAAATGACATATTTCTATATTTAGTAACAATTTAACTTTAAAATTTTCATTTTACCCTTAATAAAATAATTTATAACCACATAAACATGCATCACTTATTTTAGAGCACAAGTTTCAAAAAGGAACGGAAGGAGTACTAATTTTGCCCCCTATTTGATATAGAGGTCAGTTTTGCACAAGTTTCACAAGCTAATTAGGTTTTGTTAACCCTCACACGCAATTATTCAATAATTAGATCTTTCTATAATAATCAAATTGAGAAATTATCATAGAATGTTAATGTGGACACAAGTGATCGCAGAATTATTATTACATATATCAACACTATCTTGCCATAGAATGCCCTTAAACATAAATGGGAGAACTAGAAGTTAATTACAAGAAAGTTCCTTCTGTCCAGGAGCTGGCCAAGAAGAAACTCGTGACGATTCCATCGCGATATGTACGTGATGATCATGACAGTTCATCAATCGCATCAAATGATCGTAATAATAAGGAAGTTCCAGTCATTGACATGCAACGATTGGCCAATTCTAATGATCATGACATCATGAATCTCGAGCTTAACAAGTTGCATTTTGCAGCTCAACACTGGGGTTTCTTTCAGGTGACGTAGCTTGTTTGTCTTACTTTCCTTTTAGTTCATTTTTAAAAAAATAAAATCTTTTGTCGTCTTTTGACAACTCCTTAATTCTAACTTTCCACATGTTTCAGTTGATTAATCATGGAGTTAGTTCTTCCGTGGTGGAAAAGATGAAACACGAGACATTCCGTGGTGGAGAAGATGAAACACGAGACTCAAAAGTTCTACGATCTTCCATTAGAAGAGAAGAAGAAATTTGAACGATCACCACGCGATGCAGATGGATTTGGACAGCTGTTCGCTGTCTCTGATGAACAAAAACTTGACTGGGCAGACCTTTTTTATTTGAAGACCGCACCTCCACATTTGCGGATGCCTATATTTTCCAAGCTATACCTTTCACTTAGGTACGTAATTAACGCTATTCGCGCCCTTCTGTATTAAACACTGGAAAATAAGTAAGAGAATAACTTATTATGTAGAGAGACGATTGAAGAGTACACGGAAGAAATAAAGGAGCTAAGCATGAAAGTTTTGGAAATGTTGGGTAAAGCTTTGGGGATTAAAGAAAAAGAAGTGAAGAGTCTTTTTGAAGAAGGGATGCAATCAATGAGGATGAATTACTATCCACCATGTCCACAACCAGACAAAGTGATGGGACTTTGCCCTCATTCTGATCCCTCTGCCTTAACAATCCTTCTTCAAGTTAAAAAGGATGGAATTTGGATTCCCATTTTACCCTTCCCTAACGCCTTCATAGTCTGGAGATACTTTTGAGGTATTTCCCTCATTCTCTTCTCTTTATCTATTATTCTTTTCTCTATAGTTTTAATTTATGTGATCATATTTGACTGAATATTGAATTTTGAATATATACACATTTGGAAATTTGAGATCCAAGATCTGACCTGACCTTAACTTAGAAACCTGAGACATGAGACTCAACCCTCGACTTTGACCCGTCACTCTAGACCCTAGATCAGAGACTCGACCCTAACTTGATACCTGAGATTCGATAATGACCCGAGATTCGACCCTCGATCCAAGACCCAACTTTGACTAAGAATTCGAGACTCGAGTCTCAAACCCTAGCTGAGGACCTGACCCCAACCCTAACCTTAGACCCGAATCGAGACTTGATTTTGATCTAGGACTCAAGCCCTAAGATCGACCCTCAAATTTGACTAGAAATATGAGATCCAACCCTAGCTTGGACTCGAGAACTAACCCGACCCAAGACAGGAGATCTCAAAACCGACCACAACCCAAGACTCGAGACTTAACATTAACCCCAACTCAAGACATAAGACTCTAAACCCAACTTAAGACTTAAGACCTAACTTTTATCGAGTCCCTAGACTCAACTTTGACCTAAAACCCGAGACGCGACCTCGACTCATGATGACCTTGACCCTGACCCGAGACTTGGGACCTAAGTTTGACTGAGACCCAACCCCAACCCTGGACACGAGATCCTAGACTAGATACTAACTAGAGACTCAACTTGGACCCAAAATCCAAGACTCGACCCTGACTTGAGATGACCTCGACTCTGATCCGAGATTCGAGACCTGACTTTGACTCAAAACATTACCGCTACCTTGATGCGGGACTCAAAACCTGACTCTGACCCAAAACTCTTATCCCGACCCTGACTTGACTTTGTAGCCCCGTTCTTATATATATTTCTTTATTTTTTTTTACCAGATTTTCTCAAATGGAATTTACAAAAGTATAGAGCATAGATCAATGGTGAGCTCAGCAAAAGAAAGGATTTCAGTTGCAACATTTCAGAGTTCAAGATTGGACGTTATATTAGGTCCAGCAAGTAGCCTTGTTACAGCTCATAATCCACCAAAATTCAAAACAATGGGAGCCACTGAATTTTATAGAGGATATCTCAACCGTGAACTTGTTGGGAAATCATATGTGGAAGCCATGAGAATTAATCACCAATGAAGATGATTCAAGGAATTAATTAGTAGTTGCATTAATGGTACGTACGTAAGTAAATCCTTTGATTTGAATGAAAAAGGATTAAAACAGAAATAAATAACATTGATATGAGTTCATTGTTAATATCATGACATTTCGAATAAATATGATGTGCATTAAGATTTAAATATTTGAATCTGAATACATATTCAAATTCTTATTATGTTGTAAAATATTGTATTAAGATTTGAATACTAAATGATTCAGACTATTTATTTTTTAAACATTTTGAATATAAAAAAGTTTTCTTTATTTAAAATTAATAAAATTAAATTCAATAAAAATACTAAATTAATCAAATACATATATTAACAAAATGATTTTTGAAAATTTTATGGTGATCGTGGAATATGCCGATTGAGGATGATGCATATTGGCTAATATATAATTACTGATAAATTATTTTCTGAATTTTTAATAAATATATGACAATCCCACCCCCCTCCTCCCCCCTAAAAAAAATAGTTTTAAGTGATAATTACTAAAGCTTTTTGTTGACAAATAAAATAAAATAACTAAAGCTAAGCTAAATCGAGTGAGCTGATTTTGTGCTTTCTCAAATTTGCGCAATCAAATACAAACATAAAGAGATATGATAATACTCCCTAGTTCATATTTACAAGTCGTCTTTATTAAAAATAAATGTTTCTTAGTCCTTCCATTCCATTTTATATGAGTTAGTTTGACTCGACACGGAGTTTAAGAAAAAAATGAAGACTTTTAAAACTTGTGGTTTAAAATAAATTATAGAAATTTGTGTGACTGTAAATCATTTCATTAAGGGTAAAATAAACATTATATAATTAAATTGTTACTTAATATAGAAATGTGTCATTCTTTCTGGAACAGACGAAAAAAGAAAGTAAGTCACATAAATTGGGATATAGGGCATTTCACAAAAACAATGCATAAATAATATTATTTTTCCATTTTACCTTTGAGAGTTATTTGTCTTAAAAATATACATTTGACCAACATAGAAAAATTAAGTAAATAATTCTTGTATATTGGTCAAATTAATTAATCAAAATAAATTAATTTATGTTCATTGATTGAAAACTTGACTTTAAGAAAATACTAAATAAGAGTATAATGATAAACTTGTATAATTTCTAAAGTAGCGTGAAATCTAAAAGGATGACAACCAAATAAAATTAGGCCTTGTACTATACATAACATGGTCCCTGTGGCAAATGATTTTCCAAAAATACTTCGTCCAAAATTAGGCCTTGCACTATACATAACATGGTATAGATGATTCAAATTTCAAAATTATTAAGTCAATAACTAATTTTATGTTTAATTAAAAAATTTAAACTTTATAGATACATATACTAAAAAAAATACCTCAAATATATCATATGATTTTTTAACGAGTGGCGAGTGTAACCGTTACTATTGAATATTTTTATGTTTTTTTAAATAATGAATTAATTGCCATGCCACGATTACATAGTAGCATTAAATCTTTAGCTTTTGAATAAAAAAAATAAACTGTTTATTTTGGGTATAACCTAACCTAAATTTTGACTTTTGTATACAATTTAACCATCTTTTATTTAAATACAAAATAGAACCTCAATTATGACTTTTAATGAAGCATTTGAAAAAGAGATGGGTACTAATATGTGATTACATGATGTGATAACATTGCCATCACATGTGAATAGTCATTACATAAATGTCAAACATTGGCTACAAGAAATCCTTTTAAAGAATATATTTTAACGATAGTCTAGTTTGCGTGTGGTTCGGGTATACGCAATTTGGGTGGTGACAGTTATTAGTGATGGATGGTTATTCAATATAATATAATGGTGGTCCTTATAAATTATTACTTTCTTTATTTTAATTTGTTTGTATAACTGTGACTTACTTTTCTTTTCAATTTGTCCCAATAAAATGACAATTAATATTAATGACTTATTTTATTTTTGTCAAGATGAAATAATTTATTCATGTGGCAAAAGTTTACCAATAAAACAGAGAGTGTATTATACACTTCCAATAGTTTAGTTATTTAGGTATGAAGCTCAAAAAAATGTGATAGTTTAGATGTATTGTTGACACTTATTTCTTTTTTTTTTAAACCACAATGACAATTTTTTTTTATATATTTAGTAACAATATAGATTCAAAATATTAATTTCACCCTAGATAATAATTTTAAGTACTTAAATATATATGACTTATTTCAGACTACAAACTTAAAAAATCTTTTTGTATTTTTTTAAACTCCATGCCCAATAGAGGGAGTAATAACAATCAAATACATAAGGAAATAAGATAATATAGTATTCATGTTGTTTTCTCCAGCACTAATCTACAAATTATCTGTCATCATTATAATTTCTAAAATTAGCAAACAAAAGTAAGTTGCACGTCATTTAAGTTCATGAATGAGATTTTTGTTCATTGTAGTCATTTTTTAAGTTTTTCACATCAAGATATATAGTATCAAGACCTTTGTGTCCAGACTCTTCATCACGGGGCGGACCCACGTAGAGTCCTCCGGGTGATCGAGCACCCATTAACCTCGTCTTGATTATATAAAATTAATATAGAACACTCAATTAACAAATCATCCTAATTCGAGAAATACACCATTAACGGTCCTTAAATATGCATAAATCTTAGAAGAGTAGAATCAAGGGATCAACAAAATTCCACCTGCAATCTTGATGAATAAAATTACGTTTCTTCATTTTATTTTTTTTGCAATTTATTTTCTGTCACTTTAAAATTTGTTGCAAACACCGAGGTCCAACTTTGACCCAGAATCCAAAACTCAATATGCCTTTGACACGGAACCCAAAACCTAGGTTTTGACCCTAACTTCGGACCGGACCTTGACTTGGGACTAGACTTCTAAAACTCAAACCATGACTTATATATAGAAAAACAAATAGAATAAATCAAAGCTATAACCGGCCACTAATGTAAAGCTAAATTGAAGATCATTTTCAAAATGGATTATACTAAATTGGTCTAAAATTAACCAAATATGGAATTATCTTGTACTCAATCCTTAAAAATTTTGGCGAGTCATCGCTTTTGTAGGCGATATTTGACACCCCTACTTGTAGCCCTGGTCTTATATATATTCTTCTTTGTAATAAAATTTATTTATTTTTTGGAGCAGATTTTGTCAAATGAAATATACAAAAGCATAGAGCATAGATCAGTGGTGAACTCAGACAAAGAAAGGATTTCGGTAGCAACATTTCAGAGTCCAAGATTGGATGGTATATTAGGTCCATCAAGTAGCCTTGTTACTAGGTGCGGAGTCAGAATTTTCAATAAGGAGTTCAAAATTTGAAAAAATAGACACATAAAGTAGCCGAAGGAGGTTCGACATCTACTATATATATCTAAGAAATTATTTTAACCATGTATAAATAATATAATTTTCTATCAAAAAGAGTTCAAATGTACCTTTGAGTGTAAGTTGGCTCCGCCACAACTTGTTACAGCTCAAAATCCACCAAGATTCGAAAAAATGGGAGTCACTGAATATTATAAAGGATTTTTTAACCATGAACTTGTAGGAAAATCATATATGGACACCATGAGAATCACCAGAGAAGATGATTCAAAATATTAATTAGTACTTGTATTAATGGTACCTATGTAAGTAAATCCTTTGATTATGATCAAATGATTGATATTAACATATGTGTAAAGATTTAGGTATCTGAATTTGAATATACATTTGAATTCTTAAGACGTTAGGTAAGATATTGTATTAAGATTGGAATACTAAAAATTAAGACTGTTTATTTTTTAAAACATTTGAATATGTAAAAGTTTTCTTTATTTAAAATTAATAAATAACCCTCAAATAAACTCTAAATTATTAAGTCGACTTCTAATTTTATTTTCTTACTCCTTATTTCCTGTTTTGCCTTAATTTGTAAATTACTCCGTGTATATAGTTTAGTTTGAGTGTAGTTTATTTATACGCAATTCGGGTAGCGACATCTGCATATGAATAGTTATATAACGGTGGTCCTTATAAGTTTCTAGTAACTTATATAACGGTGGTATGATTTTGACTTGTCACATAATTTAAGAAAATAAAAAAAGACTTTCGAATTTTATAGTTTTAAATATGTCATATGGAAAATTGATATTAAAAAATTGTACATTCTTTTTTAAATAGACTAAATTAAAAAAAAAAAAAAACTAATAAGACAAACAAATTGAAACTGTTTTAGTTGTCCCACGTTATTGATGATATAACAAGGATATAACCATATATAGTATGCCTCTGGTGGTATCTAGATCTGCTTATGGTCTTTGTTTGTCCTATTTTGCCCACCAATTATTATACTGACAGATTTATTGACCTCACACACAATAATTTTAAAATAGTTGTGGACACAAGTGAAAGGAAAGGGATGGTAGAGTTAATATAATATCAAATTATTCAATATTGGAACGCCATAGAATTAAGCAGTTAAACAAATATGGGAGAAATAGAAGTTAAGTACATGGAAGTTCCTTCTGTCCAGGAACTGGCCAAGAAGAAACTCATGACGATTCCATCGCGATACGTGCGTGATGATCAAGACCGTTCAATTGCAACATCAAATTATAAGCAAGTTCCAGTAATTGATATGCAACGATTGATCAACTCTAACGATCATGACTCCATGAATCTTGAGCTTAATAAGTTGCACTTTGCAGCTAAAGATTGGGGTTTCTTTCAGGTACATATTTTATTATTAACAAGTTTATTGCTTAAAGCTACGTCAACTAAATGGATCAATAATAGAATAGCAAAGATCAAGTGACTTTTCTGATACAAAACAAAAAATAATATCTTTTTTCAATTAAAAGTGCTTGTGTATGCTTTAGTTTAATAAACTTTTTAAATAAAATTATCATATACTTTAATATAATATCAGTTTTCAAGATTGTTTGGTTCAAAAAGGGTAAAGCCCTTCGGCCTTGAAGTAGTCAGGGGTCGGGCCAAAACGGACCATATATAGGTTGTATGCAAAATTAAAAAATCATGGACAAAACATTCTATCTTGACAAAAATTAAAGAAATTATTAGTATTAATTAAAATAATGGATAAAATTACATTTCACCTTAACAAAAAATTAAATAAATTATTAGTATTCGCTAAAGTTAAAAATAAAGGTATTAGTATCCAAAAAATTATAATAAAATGTAAAATATTTTTCTCACTCTCACCCACCCTCCCGCCCCTTTTAGTTTTTTTTTTTTAAAAATAAATTCCTTTTATAAAAGTTTTTTGAAGAAATCTTACTCATCTCCCCCTAATCCTTCAAATAATAATTTAGCTATAATTTTATATTTTTAAAAGAAAAAATAATTCTACCTCTCCCCACCTAACCCTACGCTTCCAAATTTTTTTCTTGTTTTGTGTTATATATAATATTTTCCTAAAAATATATGTACATATTCAACACAAAACGAGAAAAATGTAAAAAAATAAAATAGGAAGAGATAGCTAGATGGTGTGTGGTAGAATTTTATTTATTTTTAAATAAAAATAATATCAAATTTTTTTGGAAGGAGTGGGGGAGGGGGGTGGGGATGGGGGTGAGAAAAATATTCTAAAGAGAGTATAAGTAAGAGAGTATATTACACTCCCAATAGTTTAGCTATTTAGGCATGAAACTCAAAAAAATGTGATAGTTTAAGCTGTATTTTTGACACTTATCTCGTTTAAAAGGAATGACAATTCTTTTTTATATTTAGTAACAATTTAAATTCAAAATATTAATTTTTTCGTAGATAATTTTAACTACTTAAACATATTATGACTTATTTCAGACTACAAACATAACAAAACTTTTCATATGTTCTTAAACTCCATGCGCAACTGAGGTAGTAATAACAAGCTCAACTACATTTGCAGTTAATTAATCATGGAGTTAGTTGTTCAGTGGTGGAAAAGATGAAACATGAAACTCAAAAGTTCTTCGATCTGCCATTAGAAGAGAAGAAGAAGTTTGAACAATCGTCAGGAGATACAGATGGATTTGGACAGTTGTTCGTTGTCTCTAATGAACAAAAGCTTGACTGGGCTGATCTCTTTTACTTGAAGACCGCACCGACATATTTGCGGAAGCCTATATTTTCAAAGCTTTATCTTTCACTTAGGTACGTTATTAATATTGTTCGCGCTTTTTTTTTGTATGAAACACTAGAAAATAAGTAAGAAAATCACTTATTATTAGCATATGTAGAGAGACGATTGAAGAGTACGCGGATGAAATAAAAACGCTAAGCATGAAAGTATTGGAAATGTTGGGTAAAGCTTTGGGGATTGATGAAAAAGAAGTGAAGAGTCTTTTTGAAGAAGGAATGCAATCAATGAGGATGAATTACTATCCACCATGTCCACAACCTGACAAAGTGATGGGAATTACTCCTCATTCAGATGCAACAGGCCTTACAATACTTCTTCAAGTCAATGAAACTCAAGGTCTTCAAATTAGAAAAGATGGAATTTGGACTCCCATTGAACCACTCCCTAATGCCTTCATAGTCAATGTTGGAGATGCATTTGAGGTACTTCCTTCATCATCTTCTCTTAATATTTATTAAGTAGTACAATATTATTTTTGCAATCATTTTAATTTATGTGGTGATATTTGACTACGACCTTTCGTCACTAGGAGATATCACACCCCCAACCTAAGATCCAAGACCTGACTATTAGAGCATCACAAGTCAGTTCAGACATTAGTTAGTAGTTTAGTGGTATTAGTGTTTTAGTAGTTCATACTTATTTAGGAGTCTACATTAGTTATACATCAATCGTTCTGTTTGTTTAGGAGTCTTATTATTTGCTTTGTAACTTTATTTAATATCGTTTTGCCTTCATTTATTAAGTATCGTTTTTCAACACATATTCAGTCTTTTTATGGTTTTAGAGCTTTATACTGACCTCTACCCAACCTTGACTAGAAACCCAAGACGTGAGCCTCATAATCCTCAACCTCGATCCGAGACTTAGGACACTGAACCTGAGACTCCACCCTAACTCGAGACCTGAGATCCGACCATGACCTGAGACCTGTATTTGACCTTGACTCGAGATCTGACCCCGACCCTTTCGAGCCCTAGCTACCAAGGACGTGGGACCTGACCCGCGACTTAACCTCGAACCATAAATCCGATCTTGACTCGGGTTCCGAGATCCTACTTTGACCCAAAACCTGAAACTCAGTCCAACTTTGACATAGAACCTGAGACCTGAGTTTTGACCCTGACCTTGACTTGGGACTAGAGTTGTGAGACTCGAATCCTTGCTTGTATTTATCAAACTAAATCTTAAACCGTAAATTCAATTATAGTAAATCATAGAAATAAGCTATAAGTAAGTTAATATTGAGCTAAATTGAAGATCACTTTCAAAATAAGTTATACTGAATTGGTCTAAAATTTGCCCAATATGAAACTATCTTGTGCTCAATCCTTAAATAATTTGTAGGCCATATTTCATATTTGACACCCCTACTTGTAGCCCCGCTCTTATCTTCTTCTTTATAATATACTTCTATTTATTTATCTTCATCTTTATAATATACTATTTATTCTTCTTTTTTTTTTTTTGGAGCAGATTTTCTCAAATGGAATATACAAAAGTATAGAGCATAGATCAGTGGTGAGCTCAGAAAAAGAAAGGATTTCAGTAGCAACATTTCAGAGTCCAAGATTGGATGGTATATTAGGTCCATCAAGTAGCCTTGCTACTATTCATAATCCACCAAAATTCAAAAAAATCGGAGTCGCTGAATATTATAAAGGATTTTTCACCCGTGAGCTTGTTGGGAAATCATATGTGGACACCATGAGAATCACCAATGAAGATGATCTAAAGAATTAGTTAGTATTTGTATGAATGGTAAGTAAATCCTTTGATTATGAAAGGATTAATAGTAACATATGTATAAAGATTTAGCTATCTCAATTTGAATATATATCTAAATTCTTACTAAGATGTTGTATTAAGATTTTACTACTAAAAATTAAGACTGTTTGTATTTTTAAACATTTGAATATGTGAAAAATTATATGATGATTGTGGATGTCGATTGAGGATGATGCATCTTATTTAATAATTACAGGTTAAATTATTTTCCGAAGTTTCAATAAATATATGACGATTTTTTCTCCAAAATACTTTTAAGTGCGAATTACCAAAGCTTTTCGTTGAAGAGAAAAGGAAAATAACTAAAGCTAAGCTGAATAGAGGTAGCTGATTTTATGCTTTCTAAAATTTATTACGCAATCAAATACATAAGGAGATAAAGATAATATAGTATTCATGTTGTTTTCTCCAGCACTAATCTACAAATTTCCTGTCATCATTATAATTTCTAAAATTAGAAAACAAAAGAAAGTTGCACGTCATTTAAGTTCATGAATGAGATTTCTATTTTTTTTGTTTCCCCCACGGTGTTTAAAGCCCACATTGGAGCTCCGAGATTTCTATTCATAATAGCCATTTTTGAATTTTTACATCAAGAATTCAAGATAGTATCAAGACCTTTGTGTCCAGATTCTTGATCACAGGGGCGGATCCACATAGAGTCCTCCGGGTGCTCGAGCAACCCTTAACCTTATCTCGAAATATATATATATATGTACAAATTAAGAAGGATTTATATAAACTTAACATAGAGAACTCTATGAACAAATGGTCTAATTAGTCCATTAGCTCCTAGGTGGGTACTTAAGGCTCTTGTAGTGTTGTTAATCCTGAGTTTGAATCTCACCGTGAACATGTCTTTTTTATATTTTTGACTCCACCACTTTCAGAGCATCCATAACCATAAAATTCTAGATCCGCCACTGCTTGATCAAATAAAATATTCCATTGATTCACAGCCAAAAAGTGTAGTCACATATAGATGACATGTGTTTTCAGTAGTAACGTACAAGCTTATCGGCGATTTTCCAAAAATACTTCGTCCAAAATTAGGCCTTGTACTATACATAACATGCATGGTATATATGATTCGAATTTCAAAATTATTAAGTCAATAACTAATTTTATGTTTAATTAAAAAATTTAAACTTTAAATATACATATACTAAAAAAAAAATACCTCAAATATATCATATGATTTTTTAACGAGTGGCGAGGGTAACCGTTACTATTGAATATTTTTCAATGAAAAATTTCAATAGAAAAATAATCTTTTTTTAAATAATGAATTAATTGGCATGCCACGATTACACAGTAGCATTAAATCTTTAGCTTTTGAATAAAAAAAGAAACTGTTTATTTTGGGTATAACCTAACCTAAATTTTGACTTTTGTATACAATTTAACCATCTTTTATTTAAATATACAAAATAGAACCTCAATTATGACTTTAATGAAGCATTTGAAAAGGAGATGGGTACTAATATGTGATTACCTGATGTGATAACATTGCCATCACATGTGAATAGTCATTACATAAATGTCAAACATTGGCTACAAGAAATCCTTTTAAAATAAATATATTTTTAACGATAGTCTAGTTTGCGTGTGGTTCGTTTATACGCAATTTGGGTGCTGACATTTATTATTGATGGATGGTTATACAATATAATATAATGGTGGTCCTTATAAATTATTACTTTCTTTATTTTAATTTGTTTGTATAACTGTGACTTACTTTTCTTTTCAATTTGTCCCAATAAAATGACATATTTCTATATTTAGTAACAATTTAACTTTAAAATTTCAAATTTACCCTTAATAAAACAATTTATAACCACATAAACATGCATCACTTATTTTAGAGCACAAGTTTCAAAAAGGAACGGAAGGAGTACTAATTTTGCCCCCTAATTGATATAGAGGCCAGTTTTTCACAAGTTTCACAAGCTAATTAGGTTTTGTTAACCCTCACACGCAATTATTCAATAATTAGATCTTTCTATAATAATCAAATTGAGAAATTATCATAGAATGTTAATGTGGACACAAGTGATCGCAGAATTATTATTATATATATCAACATTATCTTGCCATAGAATTAAGCCCTTAAACATAAATGGGAGAACTAGAAGTTAATTACAAGGAAGTTCCTTCTGTCCAGGAGCTGGCCAAGAAGAAACTCGTGACGATTCCATCGCGATATGTACGTGATGATCATGACAATTCATCAATCGCATCTAATGATCGTAATAATAAGGAAGTTCCAGTCATTGACATGCAACGATTGGTCAATTCTAATGATCATGACATCATGAATCTCGAGCTTAACAAGTTGCATTTTGCAGCTCAACACTGGGGTTTCTTTCAGGTGACGTAGCTTGTTTGTCTTACTTTCTTCTTAGTTCATTTTAAAAAAAATAAAATCTTTTGTCCTCTTTTGACAACTCCTTAATTCTAACTTTCCACATGTTTCAGTTGATTAATCATGGAGTTAGTTCTTCCGTGGTGGAGAAGATGAAACACGAGACTCAAAAGTTCTACGATCTTCCATTAGAAGAGAAGAAGAAATTTGAACGATCACCGCGCGATGCAGATGGATTTGGACAGCTGTTCGCTGTCTCTGATGAACAAAAACTTGACTGGGCAGACCTTTTTTATTTGAAGACCGCACCTCCACATTTGCGGATGCCTATATTTTCCAAGCTATACCTTTCACTTAGGTACGTAATTAACGCTATTCGCGCCCTTCTGTATTAAACACTGGAAAATAAGTAAGAGAATAACTTATTATGTAGAGAGACGATTGAAGAGTACACGGAAGAAATAAAGGAGCTAAGCATGAAAGTTTTGGAAATGTTGGGTAAAGCTTTGGGGATTAAAGAAAAAGAAGTGAAGAGTCTTTTTGAAGAAGGGATGCAATCAATGAGGATGAATTACTATCCACCATGACCCCAACCCGACAAAGTGATGGGACTTTGCCCTCATTCTGATCCCTCTGCCTTAACAATCCTTCTTCAAGTCAATGAAACTCAAGGTCTTCAAGTTAAAAAGGATGGAATTTGGATTCCCATTTTACCCCTCCCTAACGCCTTCATAGTCAATATTGGAGACACTTTTGAGGTATTTCCCTCATTCTCTTCTCTTTATCTATTATTCTTTTCTCTATAGTTTTAATTTACGTGATCATATTTGACTGAATATTGAATTTTGAATATATACACATTTGGAAACTTGAGATCCAAGATATGACCTGACCTTAACTTAGAAACCCGAGACATAAGACTCAACCCTCGACTTCGACCCGTCACTCTAGACCCTAGATCAGAGACTCGACCCTAACTTGATACCTGAGATCCGATAATGACCCGAGATTCGACCCTCGATCCAAGACCCAACTTTGACTAAGAATTCGAGACTCGAGTCTCAAACCTTAGCTGAGGACCTAACCCCAACCCTAACCTTAGACCCGAATCGAGACTCGATTTTGATCTAGGACTCAAGCCTTAAGATCGACCCTCAAATTTGACTAGAAATATGAGATCCAACCCTAACTTGGACTCGAGAACTAACCCGACCCAAGACAGGAGATCTCAAAACCGACCACAACCCAAGACTCGAGACCTAACATTAACCCCAACTCAAGACATAAGACTCTAAACCCAACTTAAGACTTAAGACCTAACTTTTCTCGAGTCCCTAGACTCAACTTTGACCTAAAACCCGAGACGCGACCTCGACTCATGATGACCTTGACCCTGACCCGAGACTTGGGACCTAAGTTTGACTGAGACCCAACCCCAACCCTGGACACGAGATCCTAGACTAGATACTAACTAGAGACTCAACTTGGACCCAAAATCCAAGACTCGACCCTGACTTGAGATGACCTCGACTCTGATCCGAGATTCGAGACCTGACTTTGACTCAAAACATTACCCCTACCTTAATGTGGGACTCAAAACCTGACTCTGACCCAAAACTCTTATCCCGACCCTGACTTGACTTTGTAGCCCCGTTCTTATATATATTTCTTTATTTTTTTTTACCAGATTTTCTCAAATGGAATTTACAAAAGTATAGAGCATAGATCAATGGTGAGCTCAGCAAAAGAAAGGATTTCAGTTGCAACATTTCAGAGTTCAAGATTGGACGTTATATTAGGTCCAGCAAGTAGCCTTGTTACAGCTCATAATCCACCAAAATTCAAAACAATGGGAGCCACTGAATTTTATAGAGGATATCTCAACCGTGAACTTGTTGGGAAATCATATGTGGAAGCCATGAGAATTAATCACCAATGAAGATGATTCAAGGAATTAATTAGTAGTTGCATTAATGGTACGTACGTAAGTAAATCCTTTGATTTGAATGAAAAAGGATTAAAACAGAAATAAATAACATTGATATGAGTTCATTGTTAATATCATGACATTTCGAATAAATATGATGTGCATTAAGATTTAAATATTTGAATCTGAATACATATTCAAATTCTTATTATGTTGTAAAATATTGTATTAAGATTTGAATACTAAATGATTCAGACTATTTATTTTTTAAACATTTTGAATATATAAAAGTTTTCTTTATTTAAAATTAATAAAATTAAATTCAATAAAAATACTAAATTAATCAAATACATATATTAACAAAATGATTTTTGAAAATTTTATGGTGATCGTGGAATATGCCGATTGAGGATGATGCATATTGGCTAATATATAATTACTGATAAATTATTTTCTGAATTTTTAATAAATATATGACAATCCCACCACCCTCCCTCCCCCAAAAAAAAAACTAAAGCTAAGCTAAATCGAGTGAGCTGATTTTGTGCTTTCTCAAATTTGCGCAATCAAATACAAACATAAAGAGATATGATAATACTCCCTAGTTCATATTTACATGTCGTCTTTATTAAAAATAAATGTTTCTTAGTCCTTCCATCCCATTTTATATGAGGTAGTTTGACTCGACACGGAGTTTAAGAAAAAAATGAAGACTTTTAAAACTTGTGGTTCAAAATAAATTATAGAAATTTGTGTGACTGTAAATCATTTCATTAAGGATAAAATAAATATTATATAATTAAATTGTTACTTAATATAGAAATGTGTCATTCTTTCTGAAACAGACAAAAAAAGAAAGTAAGTCACATAAATTGGGATATAGGGCATTTCACAAAAACAATGCATAAATAATATTATTTTTTCCATTTTACCTTTGAGAGTTATTTGTCTTAAAAATATACATTTGGCCAATATAGAAAAATTAAGTAAATAATTCTTGTATATTGGTCAAATTAATTAATCAAAATAAATTAATTTATGTTCATTGATTGAAAACTTGACTTTAAGGAAATACTAAATAAGAGTATAATGATAAACTTGCATAATTTCTGAAGTAACGTGAAATCTAAAAAGATGATAACCAAATAAAAACAAAAGAAGTAAAATGAAAATTGCTATCAGAACGGCCCTGCATATTTTTTGTATTCTTATGATTTTGCCTTTTCTCCTGTCACTTAGATTTGTTGTTCTTGAGCTGAGGGTCTCCCGGAAACAGCCTCTCTACCTCCACGAGGTAGTGGTAAGGTCTGCGTACAATTTACCCTCCCCAGACCCCACCTAGTGGGATCTCACTGGGCATGTTGTTGTTGTTGTTGTATGATTTTGCCTTTGATCTGCTTATTCCTGTGAAGTTTTGGGGTTCAAGAGGATATTTTATTAAAGATGGTATTACTTAGTATTCTAGGGGTCATTATGTAAATACTAGAAGTTAGTGGATTAGATGGAAAAGAGTTAGTTAGAGGTAGTTACATTAGATTCCTTTCTTATTGTATATATATGTATAGATCCTCTACAGTGAGGAATTAATGGAGTTCATAAGAAATTTCTACTTCTCTTCTCCAAGAACATTCTAGACTAAGAGAATTGCTCTTCAACCTATCTTCTTCTTGATAGCTTACATGGTATCAGCAGAGGCGAATCTAGGATGATCCGAACATGGGTGCACCAAGAAAAATGTATTAAGTGGGAATTGATCTTTAGTCCTCAAAGTCAAAAGCTCAACATTTAACCATGTGGATCAACTAGAATTTTTATAGTACGGGTGCAAGAATATAAGATTATACAAATGTTAGAAAATATATACATAAAATATCTAATTTTACGAAGAGACCACGGGTTCGGGTGCCCTATTTTTTGCACCTAAATTCGCCACTGGGTATCAGAGCGGTAATCGAATCTTTGCTTCAACTACTTGAAGAAGCAAGAACATGGCAACCATTGACAATGAGCTACTAGAAAAGTTGAGTCATAATCATCCTCTCTTCTTACACACCATTGATAATTCTAGTGTTTTGCTCAGTTCAATTCAATTGACTGGAGCCGATAATTTTTCTGTATGGAGTCGAGCGTTAAAAATTGCAGTTATAGATCGGAATAAACTTGGATTTCTTGATGGTTCTTGCAAAAAGGAGTTATATGTCCCTAATTTGGTGAACCAGTGGGAACGTTGCAATGCAATTGTATTATCATGGATCATGAATTGCGTTTCAAATGAATTACTTGGAGGGATCATCTACTCTACAAATGCTTTTGCTGTATGGAAAGATCTGGCCGAACGCTATGATAAATTCGATGGATCTCGCATCTTCCAATTGCACAAGGAGATTGCAACTATCAGTCAAGGTACAAATTCGATCTCAGCATATTTCTCTAGATTGCGTGAAATGTGGGTAGAATATTGTTGACACCCAATTTTGGACCTCCACAATATAAATAAATCATTGAGCTTCTTCAATTTCAAGCGATTTAAAATAATTAGTTTTAAATTTTTTATAATTTTTTTTTTATTAATAATATAGTTCGCAAGTTTTTAAATAGTCTTGTCACTTTTTATAATTTTTCGATAATATATATGTTTCACATAATTATGTATATAATTAATATATTTTATGAATATTCAAAAATCGTCTCAAAATTTTTTTTGTTTTAATTAAATATTTGGTTAATTAGTTTAGTTATATAATAGTTTATATCTTAAATTATTTAGTTCATATTTGAGTTAACTATTTTATTTCGTTAAGATTAAGGAGCTCATTAACTAATTATATTAATTCATCCTATTTAATTATTATTCGAATCTACTAATTTAATCAATTTGACTAAATTCTTAATTTCAATTGGCTAGGATTTCAATCAATTTGGTCAAATCCTCATTTCAAAATTTAGCGCTTCTTACAAATCTAGCCCCTTTCAACTCTCAATTTTAACCCATCTAAAAGACCCATTTTTGTGCCCTTTTCTTAGAATTTTCCAAGTCCAAATTCAATTACAAGGACCCAATTATTTTTCAAAACACAGCAACACACGACCGACCCCATCTCTGTTTCTTCTTCCTCACCACACGAGGACAGCAACGACCCCATTTTTTTTTCTTCATCGCAGCGGAAATCAAGGACAGCAGCAGAAAATCGCGGAGAACCTAGAAACGTGATCATCTGCAAAACCCATAACCCTTGAGCCTCAATGTCAAACCCTCACGTCCCCTTTTCCCCCTTTTTAGGGATTTCCAAATCTCTTCACTGATGGCTTTGGAAAAAAGGAATTCGGATTTCAAATTCAATTTCCCACTTGTTTTCCCTCTTAAATCGACCCCCTATTTCCTCTATATAAACCCCCTATCCATCGGTGTTAAAAAAAAGGAAAAAGGGTTTTGAGTTTGGTTCTTTGGCAATACTCGATTTATACTCAAGAAGTTTTAAGGCGATTCTCTAATTCTAAGTTCCGAGAAGTTCGCCGCTTAGATTCTGTCTGGGAATTCTTAGCTTGCTGATCCGTATTGAGATTTCGTGGTAGAAGAATCCCTGCTCTCAGCTCGTTGTCAAGTTTGCTGCCCAAGAAGAGGTATGTAACTTTGCTTCGCTTATTTCCTGTTCGAGCTAAGGATCTCATGATCGTTTTGGTCGTAATTTTGATTGTGTTAATCGCACAGTTTTATTTTCTTTATTGTCTATCAACTGATTTGATTTTCTTCTTTAATTTTGTGACTTAAGACTAGAGACTCTCTCAATGTTAGCCTAATCTGCACATCTATAGACAACAATGTTGATCTTTTCTTTCGACCTGTTTTGTTTTGAAATGGATATTAGTTGGAAAAGTGAATCAATTTTTCTTCACTCCTTTCAATTTCGAATGGTTGTTGTCTGTAGCTTCTTTTGTTCAAATAACCAGATTGTAGTTATCTCGAATTCATAAGCTTATATAAATTATGTGTATAAATTTGGTTTATCTGTTTTAGCCTATATCTTGCTTTTTGTCTTGGTTGTGGTCTGTTCCTATCTTGGTATGCTATATATATATATATATATATATATCGTTGGTATTTAAGTCTTAAGTGAATTCATGAATTAGATTTTAGCATATCTTGTTGTCGTGTGGAAAGTGCATTTAGATGGGTATGTGTCATATAGTGAAGTTAATCTTTCCGTTGTTTGGTTTCATTTCAGCCCTTGTCTAGTGTTGAAACTCATCTTATTGTTTTCATCGTTGGATTAAATTTGTTCTTCTTTGTCAAAAGCTCATGTTTTGCCTTTTGTTCTAGTGGGTTAGTATTACTACTATCTAAGTTTCTTTATTGTGGATAGTGAGTCGTTTAATTCATGTATTCCGTATTTTTCTTAAGTCTCAACCTGTCCAGTTCTTTGCTTATGTCCTCGGTTTAACACTAAAAGTTCATATCTATTATAAAAGGGATGGGTGTTATCATTATTTCTCCCTTGTTTGTTAAAAAAGTAGCTCTTATGATAAGCTCCATTTGTTCTTATTTTAACCGGTAGCTTCTTTATCTAAAAGAAAAATAATTTAACTTTCATATGCTCCATTTGGCTTGTTGTCTTAACCTTTGATAAAATTGTTTGGAGTTTATTTCATACTCTACGGTGTGTCTCTCTAATATCGCTTATCGTTGTTTTAATATTATTAAATTTAGCTTAGCATTGTTGAATATGGCTACAGTTGACATCACTTGTTAGCATGCATTCATTTGTTAGTATGTATCTATTTGTTATTTGTTAAATTGGTTGCATTCATTTGCTTGACTTAGGTCTTAGTTACTGTGTATTAGTGTAGGAGCTGCCATGATAATTTGTTTTAGGTATGCTCTCTATCTTATTATTTTCGGACGCTAATCGTTATTATCATTTTGTTGTATGTAATACCATCCGAGCCCTCTTGGGCTTCATCTTTCTTCCCTTCACATTTCGAGAAGGCCATAAAGGCCCAAGATTCTCTTATCGAGTCGGCCACATCTTGTTCGAGTTACTGGAAAGTCAAATCACAGGTCTCGGAAAGCCGAAAGCGGGCTGTATACATGTTGTATACAGCGGTATACACTGATATGCAGGCCCAAAATGCAAAAACAGAGGCCGGAGGCGAAATATAGGTGTCCGAAAGCAAAAGATACAT